GAGGCGTTTGCGTGCTTCTCACTGTGAAAACCACAGTGAGAAGACGCCAGCGTCCATAGGAAAGCATTATGAATGCTTTCCTATGAGACTGGCTGAATGCGCGCGCAGCTCCTGCCGCGCATGCGCATTCAGCCGAAGAGGAGGAGAGGAGGCGCTGGAGAAGGGGGTCCCTGAGTGGTCCTATAGTGGTCCTTTAAATCTCCCATGTGGTCTTCAGCACTTGTTATTGTCTGTCCCCACCCTTCCTTGTAAAAACAATACCGCATTCACAATAATGTAATTAAGATTTGCAGTGTAATTGGTTACTATCCCATGTCCATACTGCTATTGGTTGGCTTGGGCTCACAGTGCTGTTTGGGAGGAGCTTACGGTGTTGAACCTGGAGGGGAACTTTGTGTACCAATTAGGCTCTGGGGTTATAAATTAATGTGATGTTTTCAATAAGGTAGAGTTGTCGCTCTACCCTACACTATGTGTTGACTAGTGTTTGGGAAATGAGATATAATCCCTGAAGAGTGATTTTCTCCTTAAAGCACCATAAGCAGTATGACTTGCTGTACAGAATGTTTGGGAGACCCTCACCCCCCCACACCATATATAAAATCCAAGGCTCTCAGCACCTATACTTTACTGCGGAATGCCTAATATAGCTGTGAGCTTCCATCTTAGGCATCTAAGTATGAGCTGAAATTATAGAATGAGAGCATTGAGTTAATCCACACACAATGTTCTCAGCAGTGGCGGACAGTCACTTCTTCACAGCAATCACCAAGCAACGGCTAAAGGAGGAGAGGAAGTGGGAGCTCTGACTCCTTTCAGCCTAAGCCAGCCACGGGACCCCAGGGAAGTCACCCTCCTGCATCTAAAAGGTATGAAACAGGAGGGTGACTTTAAAAAAAATTACATTTTGCATGTGTGTGTGTGTTTGTGTATCTGTGTCTGTATGTGTATCTGTATCTGTGTCTATGTGTATCTGTATGTGTATCTGTGTCTGTATGTGTATCTGTGTCTCTATGTGTATCTATGTTTGTTTGAATGTATGTGTGTCTTGTGTATCTGCATATGTGTTAGTGTGTGCTCCTATGTATCTGTATGTGTGTCATTCTGTGTATCTAAATGTTTGTCATTAAGTGTGTCTGTGTATCTGCATGAGTGTCTATCTGTCTGTGTATTTGTATGTGTGTTTGTGCATTTGCATGTGTGTCAGTGTGTGTATCTGTGCGTCTGTATCTGTATGGTGTCTAAGTATCAGCAAGTGTGTCTGTGTATGTTTCTGTATGTGTTATATTGTGTGTATCTGCATGTATGTAAGTGTGTGTTTGTCTGTTTATCTGCATGTGTGTCAGTGTATGAGATTGTGTATCTGTCAACCCCACACACACTATCACCCCCCTTCACTCTGTCAGAATCACAGAGTCCAGTCTCTTACCCATGCCATACTCACCATTGCTCTGCCGTACTCACCCTATCACACTCACCTTCTCTTGCACTGTCACACTCACCACCCAACTCTGTCACACTCATTCTCCATAACTCTGTCACACTCGCCCCCTTTCACCCCGCCACACTCATTACATTAACCTCTCCAATTCTGTAATACTTATGCCCCTAACCATGCCACCCATCATGTGGGGGGTGAATGAGACACATGGAGGGCCTGGGGCTCGTGAATGTTACACTAGGAGGGGATGAAATGTATGGTGGGGGGCACCGAGGCAATTTTCGCACTGGGGCCCTGTGGTTTCTAGTTACACCTCTGGCTCTCAGCCTACTAGCTGAGCCACAACACAGGGACCTACTGTTTGTAAATGATCTAACAAAAACTGAGGAATAGTATCCAACTACTCTTTGCCCAAACAAGTTGTAGTGCTTATGGTGCTTAGAATGCTTCTTTTGGGATATTTTACAACTTAAACTTGATATTTTATGGTAGATTATTTTAATGCCACGAAGGTAATAATTTCAGGCAGGATGAATGAAATCATGCAATTTGATTTTGACAGTGAGGAAGCGGCATGGTTCTGGAATGATCAGTTTTGGAGGGGATGAATTATTCCATTGAGATTGATAATAGAAAAATTGTGCAACTGGGGTTGAAGTGAACATTGGGGTCCATGACCGTATGTTGTTCTAGTATGCAGATTGCTAGATTGCTGTCATGCAGAATGAAATGCTATATCAGCTTTCTTAAATCATGCCTGAACAAGAGTCTTTAGAGTATAACTTCTAAAGTGCAACAGAGGGGCAAAGTTCTAAAACTGGAGCAATCACCATGGACACGAAAGGAGTGTTCCTGCGGTTTATTCAACTTTTAGAACTTTAACCTCTCACAACCCTCTTGGTGTCCTGAATGTTTGCATTTACTGTTAGCAATTGCATTTGTCGTTAGCATTTTTCAGTTAGCTATTAAAGTTAGTATTTTTTTATTGAAGTTTTGTACTTTATTTTTTCTAAAAACTATCCTGCCACCACACCATCCATACTCACATCTGACACTGTACCATCTTTTTGTTCTGCGTACATCTAGAATTTGTTTTCTCATACCACAAAATAAACATACATATTTGTATATAAAATAAATATGCATTTTGCAACCTGTTAATCTGTAACAGACCAGATATCAAAATTAACCCATGTCTAGCCAGAAGATTGTGTAGAATTTATCCATTCTGATCTGGTAATTATTTATTAATAAACGATCTTGAACTTCACCCTTAACTTATGAGAAAGATTGCTTGATCTAACCTCTTTATGTCTTTAGGTCTTTCCTGACCATTGCTAATTTCATGATATAGGAACTATCACTATATAATTGCAGAGACAAAGAGACATGCCTATATTTCTGTATGCTGTTAACATACATTCCAAATGTCCCAATTTGGGCCAAAATCCCTGTCTCTCTTTTCTATCCTAATGTCACTCTTTTCTGGGAGTTCTAATTTGTTGGTGTGTCTGAATGTATAACAGAGCTCCAGAGCAATTATACTCACAGTGATGACAGGAATACAAACAATGTTTAGGCCCCCGGGCCCCCTGTCAGCTATTTGGGACTATCCACCTCCATGGTTGAGCATCAAAATTGAGGATCTCAGCCAATCCAATGCTTTATCACAGGAAAGCATTTGGAGGCTATTGCACATGCATGGCAAAACTGTCCAATCAGCATCTCCTCATACAGATAATTTAATCAATGAATCCATATGAGGAATGTTCCGCGCCTCCATGCAGGGTGTGGAGACGCTGAATGTCAGTGTTACACATTGTGCAGCACTGACCAGGAAGCACCTCTAGTGGCCATCTGAGTGATTACCACTGGAGGCGTCCCTAGGGAGCAATGTAAACACTGCCTTTTCTTTGAAAAAAAAAAGAAATTTGCAACAAGCTACGAAAAAAATCCTTCTAGATCTCGGAATGGCAGTCAGATCTCTTCTTGGATCAAGAAGCTGTTACCCCACCTATAAATATTATACACCTGAATATTATATTTTTGCAATTGATCCGGCTGCTGTTTAAAGATCTGTACAGACTCTGATAAAACCACCTCTTTAGGCAGACAATTTCCCATATTTACTGGTACGGTAAGACACATCGATGTGCAATTCTGCTTGCTTGACTTATTGTTCCTCTATGCTCTCACACACCATAACTCACAAGTTTATTATATATACTGTATATCAGATGGACTTGGCAACTGGAGCCCAGAATCAGGGTAATGTACACCTGTGCAAATGAGACATTGCTAAAGTCATCCTAGACATAGAACAGAAGCACAGGGACTATTCAATATGTTATGAGAGAGTTACGCAGGTCTAGAAGCTGTACATCAGACAGAAAACTAGTTATTGAAATAAATGCTGAGAACACACAAATTGGCATTTGAAATGTTGGTATGAATGAACATTAAGAAATGTAGTTAAATTGAATCGTTAGAAAGAAGTATTAGTCTGGTAAGACTGATAGCATTTACCATAGGGAGCATTTATGCAGAGCAACATAGAGTACCATATGGAGCATGTATGTGGATTATCAGAAAGTACCACAGGGAGCCATTACAAAAACCAACAGCAAATATCACAGAACCATGTATATTGACAATGTAGATAATGCCATATGGAGTATTTATATAGACTAAGAGAGAGTGCCGTAGGGAGCATGAGGATGCCCCAGCAGAAAGTATCATAAGTAGCATTGAAATAGAATAACATGAAGTACCATTGAAAGTAGCTATATAGAACAAAAGAAAGTACCATAGGGAGCAGTAATACTTAGCACAAAAGAAAGTACTACAAGGAGCGATTATATAAAACAAAATAACATACCATAAGGAGTAGCAATACTGAACAACAGTAAGTACCATATGGTACAGTTGCCTGGACTAAAAAGATATAGCAATGGAAGTAGTTATAAAACCCAACAGAAAATACAAATGGTAGCAGGTTTATGGACCAAGAGCACAGTGTTACATTGACTAAAAGGAGTGACTATAAAAAAGGTAGTAGTTTTGTAGTGCAAGAAATGGAAATATAGTTTACAGTTATACACAGAAATACACAGAAAGACAAAATATAATAAGGATATTATATATGATGATCATTTATCAATAAGGATGTCTAGCTCCTTTGAATTTTTCCTATGAATTTGTTAGATTGGACTTTCTTTAGTGTAAAAATATTTTAACCCATTGCATTTTTACTTACCTTTAAAAACATAAATTGATGAAAAATAATAAAATAAAAAAAAATAAAAAAAAAAAGAAAATGAAAAGAAAATTATGGAGACCTAATGGAGGGAATTTGGGGAGCATTAATATATCTTCTAAACTCCTAAAATGTTGAATGGAGCAGCAAAATGAGTTACATTACAGGTGTATTATGTATTGTAAAAAAAAAAAGGTGTGTTTTAATTAATTATCTGTATAATGTGTACAGTAAGACACATCTTGCACATTGATCTGCTGTAAAAACTCTGAATATTTTATTATTCTATGTTTAAATAGATATGTAGTTTTTTGTATACAAAATAATAATAATAATAATAAGTAGAAGAAAAACAATTCTTAAAACTGTTCACAACACACAGCCAGTTTTGCCTAATAACACACTAGCTTTGCCCCTTCTGTGCAGGGAGAGGAGCCTGCAAAGTGTTGCATTTTATTTAAACTCACAATCACACACATAAAAATGCAATAATTTACTTTCTTTCTCTCAATTAAAATCATAATATTTTGATATCTTCCCCCAGCAAGGGGATACATAGTAGTGGAAGATGAAAGAAGAAAAGCATAGGGAGGCTCTATGTGTCAGGGACAGGCTCAGCCAGTCCCACAACTGATGGTCAGGAGCTTACGTTTTGCTCATGGGTCACTATATGTTTTGGTGTTGTGGCAGTGGTTGTATCTTATGAGACCAACACAGAGAAGATATAGGGAAGTAGCTGAGAGAAAAATGGCATTTTAATGTAAAAGTGCAATTTTTTGCCAGAGAGCCTGAGATACATGGTGAAAGAAATAAAAAAATAAAAAAATGAGATGCAGAACAAAGTCTGTTGAAGATTTCCATAAACCCCAGCTATGTCAAGATGAGGGTTTTCGAGATTGAAAGCAGGATAGTTGAAATGCAGGGGTATCTGCTGTAGAGGCATAGGGGTATATATGTTTGATACGTTTGAGGTTTCATATTCCATCTGAGGGATGTTTACCAGGGACAAGCCATCAGTGGCATGATTCCTCCCTTCTATGAAATAATGGGCTTGGGTGTAACTTTTCAGTGTGTCAAAGTGTCTCATTTTAGAGTTCCAGGATTATAGGTACTGTTATGGTTAGATTCTCTATTTTTTCAGAGGTGGGTCATTCTCCTGGATGGCAGCAGCTCCTCTGATATGAATTCAGTCTTCTAAGTTTTGGAATCACAGGAAGAGCTCAGCTCCAGGCCCTGTGTCTCCCCCTGTACCCAACACATCTGCCCCTGTCCCCCCTCCTGTGGCGCTCAGTAGTTTCTCATATCGTGCCCTCCAGCCATCCCTTTCACGGGTCACACGAGCCACTTCTTGTTGAAGTTGCTGAAGCTGACGAGACAGCTGACACTTCTCCGTCTCCAGGACATGGCGTTGCTGCACTCGTTTGTACCTGCAGGACTGGGCATAGCCTCTGTTTTTTAACGTGCGCCTGCGCTGCTTGAGTCGCAAAGCTTCTTCTTTGCTGAATCCACGAAGTTGACGATTCAACTCCCTTACAGACATTCCGACTAATTGCTCATCAGAGAAGCGTTCCGACAGGGGAGATAACTGAGGAATAAAAAGAGAATGTTAAAACACATAATGACTACAGTGTGGATGGCATGCAAAATGGGCTTAACAGTAACACAGCGAGAAATTGCATTAAGAAAATGAACACATTTTCTGTACTATGAAGCACAGTCTGTTAAAGTTAGTGTAAAGAAAGTTCCACAGTTTACCAAAACTCAGTAAATGTCTACTATTCAGATCAGTTATATATTTTCTCTAGAGAATTAGATACAACTAGCAAATGTCTTTTGGTTTTAACACATTTTCCTACATCAGGGGTAGCCAATCATTAGCTCCCCAGGTAAAAGTTACACTCCAAGTACCATGATCTCTACAGCAGGCTTAGTGCCCCCTCCCCCAACTTTGCAAGTTGTCACACCACTTGCAAATTGTTTGGCTTCATCCCTGGTGTCTGTTAGGCGCCATTCACTACCTCTATGGAATACAATGAGTTATATTAGTTCTTCTGAGCTAAACTCTGCTGTGCATGGCCAGCTCAATGGCTGGAAGTGACAGATCATCATTCTCAGCCTATGAGCTAGACCCTGCTCCGCTGAGCTTAACCCAAAGACCAGCGCCCAGTAGATAAATTGTCAAACCATTAGCATATTGTAGTGGTTATGTTGCTCAGAATGTTCCTTTAATCTATAGTGATATCCAAAGGCTGGCAAAATATCAGTAGACTTGGAGGAACACAGCTGCTGGAGAGCTTTGTGTATGCTAATCCTGCTTACATATAATGCGCAGAACAATTGGTATATCAATTAAAGTGTACATGGCATGGTGCACACAACTTGGGCTTAAATAAAGAGCAATGAATTTCATCTGCACGTTGTGCTAGCAGATATGCTAGCACATGTATAGATTTTACTTTATTGCTTTTTAAAGTTTTGGCCATCTGTCAAACGATCCTTGGCATTAAAGGGACACTATAGTCACCAGAACAACTACAGCTTATTGAATTTGTCCTGGTGTGTAGAATTATTACCTTCAGCCTTTTTGCTGTAAATACTGTTTTCAGAGAAAATGCAGTGTTTACATTACAGCCTAGTGATAACTTCACTGGCCACTCCTCAGATGGCTGTTAGAGATCCTTCCTGGGTCATGGCTGCCTAAAATGCATCCCAACATTCAGTGTCTCCTTCCTCTGCATGCAGACACTGAACTATCCTCATAGAGATTCATTGGTTCAATTCATCTCAATAAGGAGATGCTGATTGGCCGGGACTGTGTTTAAATTGTACTGGCTCTGCCTCTGATCTGCCTCCTTGTCAGTCTCAGCCAATCCTATGGAGAAGCGTTGTGATTGGATCAGGCTACCACTTCTGATGATGTCAGCAGACTGCTTGCTGGTCTGAGGCAGACAGGGCAGAGCCAGCATCTTCAGGCTTGAATACACCATCTAGCCCCCCTTGCTATATTTAGGGAGGCATGAGGGGCCCAGGGAGGCTAGATGGTGGTCTTCACACTATAGGGTCAGGAATACATGTTTGTGTTCCTGACCCTATAGTGTTCCTTTAAACCTAAATGCTGGTGGCACAAGTCTGTCATTCCTGAAGTTTCCATGTGTGTCCAGTGGGAATGGTGGAACTACAGGTCTACACTAAAAGAGAAAATATTTAGAAGAATAACATTTTGTAGATTAGTAGAATTACACCTCTATGGTGTTTTTGTTCTCTAATTTTGTTTCTCTTCTCAATAGCTCCTTTCTTCCCACAGCCCTATAGCCTATATATAAACACCTTTGATCTCTTAATAAATAGGGCAATATCCATCACTTAACTTTATTAAATATATGATGTATATGCATTATGTTTTCAAATACTGTTTTACTTTATTTACTCATTTTTCCATCACTCAATAATACAACATTGCTGCCAAAATAATATAAAACATTGGAAAAGTAAAAATAAATAGTTAGAGATAGTGATGTCCCGAACTGTTCGCCGAATGGTTCACCGTGGACTCATCATTGAGTAAACTTTGACCGTGTACCTCACAGTCAGCAGACACATTCCAGCCAATCAGCAGCAGACCCTCCCTCCCAGAGCCTCCCACCTCCTGGACAGCATCCATTGTGAAGCTGCATTCTTAGTGAGCTGTCCAGGAGGTGGGAGAGTCTGGGAGGGAGGGTCTGCTGCTGATTGGCTGGAATGTGTCTGCTGACTGTGAGGTACAGGGTCAAAGTTTACTCAATGATGAGTCCGTGGCGAACCGTTCGTGGCGAACCGTTCGCGAACCGTTTGGCGAACAGTTCGGGACATCACTAGTTAGAGATAAGATTAACATTGGAAATTACAGGCTTCATCAATCACCCCTTTTCTCTTCCATGTTTGTAGATCTATCACTTTTCTTTTCAACATCTATATCACTTGAATAGATCTTCAATCTGGATTCCTCTGTGTTCTATATCCACGCCTGTCTTATACAAACTCTTCTATGGCTTGTTTTCTTTCTTTTTGCACTGTAATTGTCTTTTATTATTTGATAACTATTTACTGCTTCCCTCCATTTCACACTACTGTTCTTTATTCTACTTCACTACTGCCTTCTTCACTGCCACTCTCCATAGTCTTCTCTCGTTAATACTCCAACCAATACTCATTCTGTTTCCACTGCCAACCTCCCCTCGATCACTCCTTCCCTCTTCTTCTCAATCTCTTGATATTAGCAGATTAAGTGATCAGTGACATGTCCGGCTTTGTGGCTATAACTGTACTGACAAATCCTGTCACTCAAAGTGCCACGTATATCCAGTAGATAAACACAAATAAACTCACATGGTACATTATCACATATCTGCCCATTGTGTACCTGGGGTCCCAAATTACATTTAAACTCTCTACAGCTGTTTACATACTAATAAGAGTTGCATTGTGGTGGATTTGGGAAGTTTATATATTACCAAGAGACATACAATTACACTGCAGTTTGACTTTACACTTTACAGATATTGATTCATGTGTCATCACATACTATTAATGGCACATGATCACCCAGGGGCATCCAAGTCACTTTTTTACTACTTATCACCCGTTTTGTATCCTTTCACATGTAAGATGCTCATTTCCACTTTTCAGTTCATGTTCACTCTTTTTAAAGAAACCTTATACTTTCATCACACTGTTATTTGTTTCTTATTGATGTTGTTGTTTTTTTACTCACTGTTGATTTTCTTACGTTAGTTTGCAAACTTTTGTTTGCTCACCTGATGTTGCTGTGCATTCATTTCTTCCGGGCTCAGGAGATAACTAGAAGGGTGTGAGTTATGTGGGTGGGGCCCTCCTGTCCTATACCCACCATCCAGCCCCTGAAGAGCGGGTGCTCCAGCACCTCCCATCAGCACCTCCACAGCATCTTCAGGGGTAAGTGGTAGTCCTTCTCCACCCATCTGCTGCTGTAAAGCTGCCATCCAATAAAGCTCTTCCAAACTAGGACGAGGGGGGCCTGCTGACTCAGGAGGGTCACTGAAGGTGGGTGAAGGTGGCACTGAGCTGCAAGGTGTTGACCCAAGGGAAGGTGGAGGGGCCATTCTGGTGGCCCGTGGTTCAGGAGGCTCTCTCTTCACCTCAAACTTCATCAGATCAAAGTCATTGAGGTATTCAAGGGCCAAAGGAGTGCTGGGGAGATCAGAGAGCGACATCTGTGGAAAAAAAGGAACAAAATGAAGATGGAATCTAAAATATTTCTGGGAAGAGAGAACTACAGGTGTAGGTGAAATTTTGAGAACTACAGGTGTAGATTAAATATGTTGGGGCAAAAAGGATAAGATAATTACAGAGAAAACATCTGGGAAGAGAGTGAACAGGTATTTTGGGGACATTCAGAAAAACTATCATAGCAAAGTAAGGCAAAATTTGCTATTTTGGAACATTATATCAACAAAAGAACGAAAGTCAAAGCCTAATGGAAATAGGTAACTTAGATGTAACCTGTGTCATCAGGTTTACTTACGGCATCTTTGAAAACACAGAGATATTGTAAATTAGCATCTAATGAAAGTTGGTCATAAAGTAACAGCAATCAGAAAAGCTCCAATTATTCTAACAACATTGTGTGTCACATTTATCAAGGCCGTTGAACCGTTCTGGCACACTCATAACAGAAACTGATGGAATGTTTGTGATAATTGATACACTGGTTTATGTCCTAGAATTGCTTCAATTTTGTATTAAATATAGAGTTATATAAATCAGATAGATTTACCATTCTATAGACAACATTAAGTGACATACAAGCTGGAAACTCTTTGCTATACCGCATCTCTATAACTAGCACTGTTGCTAGTTATACCTGGAAAGTTCTCTCTCTTATGCCTCTCATTTGCTCTGGAGAGATTTGAAATAACACCCGCCTGGTTATTCTATCTTGGGACACTAGGAAACAATCTTTGAAAATTGTTCCAGAATGCAACAAAAATATTTTCACAAACACAAAAGGTCCTGGAGCACTAAAGAATGTCACATAGATGATTTAAAATATATACTCTAAAGCAGGGATGCTCAATAGAAAGATCTGCAGATGTTGTAGAACTACAACCCCTATGCCTTTAGAATGACAGAGCATCACGGAAGTCGTAGTTTTAAAACATCTGGGGGTCTTCCTTTTGGGCACCTCTGCTCTAAATTATCAATTTGAATTGATTTATATTTCTGACTACTGTCACGGAGGGAAGGATGAACATTGAATACTATGATGAGAATTTTCAATTCAGCAATAACCTTCCAATCTCAATAAGACTTCAGTAGAGCCAATTTACTAAAACAAGATATTATTGTCACATCGGTACACAACAGAAGTAATATGGGGTACTTGAGTCAAATTTATACTCAGAATCTTCAAGAATTAGTTGTTTGATTTTAATACAAATTTTGGGCTCTCAGAGTCAGGGTTATATAAAAAGAACTATGGAGCAAGTTCTAAAAGTGGAAAAATCACCACAGAAACCAACGGAATGTTCAGGCTGTTTGTTCCCATCTTTATCATTTGCCTCAGATTGCTCCTTCTACTAAATCCCCATTTTGTGTCAGGAAAATTCATAAAAATGGCAGCTATGGATAAATATATACATACATACGAATGCATATATGTGATCAATATAGTACAAAACATTTTTAAAGTAAAAACAGAAACTCTTGTTCAGTTAAAATGTACAGTAACTACTATATAATTATGTACAATGCACACACAGGGATATGTTTCTGAAGACCTCACTTGTCCCTTAACGTGCAGATAATTCCGTCTTTGAGCTTGGTATTATCCTGGATTTAGCCCTCAGCTCTGAATGATACTGTCTGACAACTCTTGCTCCACCCCTCCCCTTCCAGACCCCAGAGCATATATCTCCAATATGCTTAAATAAATGTGTGAAAATAAGTGGATGAATAAGGGCAAATGTGAAATAAAATACAACTCTAGATTAAAAGCAGCATACAATCAAGAGCACGAGAATCAAACTGAAAAATTAGCAGATTTGTATATAAATTTGTATTTTAAGCTGGAGTAATATATATATATATATAATAAAAGGGGTGTGAATAGTGGCTAATGATAAACATTCTCTCTAACACTTATTGAGTGTGTTCACTCATGTCCCACACCATTGGGCCACAGTACCTAGTCATAGATAGAGGAAATACATATTCAGAAAAAGATAGCAGCTTAGTGAAGAATACTATAACCTCATTAAGGAGATACTAATTATCCACTTGGGCATTCTTGCACACATCTAAACATGTATACTGATACTCCTTGTGAGAAGTGATGTCCTATAACCGAAATGATACCATTCCATTTCCCTAAAACATTATTCCGCAGGTGTAAAAAGAGTTTTCTGAGAAGGAACTCTTGTCCTGTTAACCCAGAATGTCTCAGTACCTGTAACTTCAAGTTTTGACATTTAAAGTGATACATATTACCTTTAACCTTCTTTTGATAAATTGGTCACTCACCTATTCGTAAGGCTGTTTTATTCATTACACTAAGATTACACTCATCCATATTCAAACAGCCTGGTCTTATCACAGGTTTGTGCACACATGCACTGCTTACACAGTACAAACCAACTAATTAACAAAGAATATCAACCATAACAAGACAGGCAGAATTAATTCGTAAGCAGACTGTTTAATGTGTGTATCAGTCCTGTCAATTAAGGATGAGACCACTTTTCTGTTTTTGGTAAGTATGTATCAATTAAAAGTTTTAGACAATACCATTTAAAGCAGCTTTCATAACTAGCATAAATTGGTTAGGACAAGACAAACCAAATTTTCAGACTTCCACCTCTTTCTTTTCCATGCGGTTTCAAAAAGTATTGGTGACACAATGTCTAAAAGTGCAAATAGCAAAACACATTTAACAAGCAACAATTTGAAAAAACAAGGGATCAACAGCAAGGGTTAAAATATAAGTTAACGGAGGATTTGGTCACAGAGAATCCACCTTTGGAATAAGAGAGAATGACAGCAAGGGAAGCACATAAAGTGACAGAGTTCATGGAATGAACAGTGAAGGGAAGCTGTATTTAACTTACTCTGAGTTTGTTTCACTGTGGTCAGCTCCTGCTCTTCTTTCCCCTTTCACAGATCCCCATACACGACCTGGGCAAAGCCTGCTCTGCCCTTTCTTACCAAACACTAATTTACCTGCCCTTGTGTCTCCTTTTCAGCCACTAGCTATTGCTTATGCCCTGGGTGCAGGGGTTAAATAGCGGGCCCGTGAGCTCACACTTATCTCATTATGGTCTCTCCAATGACTGCAGCCAGGGGATGGATGGGGAGGGTGAGGGCAGAGGGCAGAGCAAGGGAGGGGGGGGGGGTGAGGGTTTAGAAAATTATTCACAGAGTGTTGAATCTGTCAGAGCCAGGGCTAAACCTCTCCAATGAGGTGGTTGGAAAAGGGGGGGTGGAAGGGCAGAATGTGCGAGTTTGGGGGGTGGGGAGCCTGGCACATCCCCTGCCCTTTATATGTCTGTGTTCTGCCCAGTAACAAAATTAACAGATACATAGATGAATAGATAGATAAGCAGACAGATATTGAAAATCACTCACAGATTGGTAGATCTCAACAGACAGAAACCGATTGGTGAAATATTGGTAAATAGAGAAAATCAAAAGATAGACAGAAAGGTAATTTAAAATGATTCAGATAAAAGAACGTAACTTTTGGTATTATATATGTTAAAAACAGATTAAAAGGTCAGCATATAGACTAGTGTCACATCAAGACAGATAGATAGTAAGAAAAAATACAGTACTGACAGAAAGACAGTGAATGATAAACTGTTGCATAAGTATTCACTCCCTACCACCACCCTTTCCACAATTTGCATTGAAACAGCCTGGAAGTAAGACACATTTCACTGGGATATTTTATCATTTGTTTTACACAACACCTAACACTTTGAAGGTGCGACATATATTTCATTGTAACACAAAAGTAATAAAAGAATAGAAAATGCACATTTGTTGGTTGGATTAAGTATTCAGTATATATTTGGTAATACCCTGCTTGGCTATAAGTATATCTGTTAGTCTTTTGGGCTATGTTTCCACCAGCTTTGCACATTTGGAACCTGCGATTTTTAGTAATTGTTGGATGCACACCTTTGGTGAAAAGTGATGTTAAAGGGCCATGATAAGACATGTAGACTCTAGGTTTGAAACTAATTCAATGTGGCCTTGATTATGTTTTTAGGGTTATTTTTCTGCTGAAGGACATCTAACTAGTTTAGAGAGCTATCAATATGACTTTGCCCTGTATCTGCTTCTTTCCCTCTTGCTGTCAGTCTTGACCAATTTTCACATTCCCTGCCTTTAAAAACCATTACCACACCATAATGTCATCACCATCACCACCACTTTAGATGTATCAGTATGATCAAGTATAAAGAGCTGACTCTTGGCCAAATAGTAAAATTTTGGTCTCATGAAATCAGAGAACCATGTGTTTGCTTTGTCTCCCACATATTAAAAAAAACCTCCAAATGACATTTGATACTTGTTTTTTAAGGAATGGTTTTCTTCCAGTCAGACATCCAAGAAACCAAGTTTAGTGGAGCTTCCAAGTTATATTTGTTGCATGGGCAATTTCTCTCCAACTCCTTCAGAGATTCCATTGCCTTCATCCTTGGTTCTCTGACCTTGCCATCCCTAGGCAGATACACTTTTGCCATATTCTTTAAAAAAAGAAGAAGAAACAGCAAGAATGAGCGCGTTCATTATAATGCAGTGTGACAGGAGCAAGACATTGAGTGAAACATGACATATAACATCACATGAAATATTACGCACATTTTGTATATATGTATATCAGGGGTGTAGCACCAGACGAGGAGAGATTAAACAGTCTAGCTTAATTGTTTCGGGAAATAGCATTCCTCTACCAGGTCGGTTTGAGGCAGTATACGTGGACAGCAGAGATCGTGTGGATGCGGAGTATTGGTATACTGGGTGTCTGTGTATGTATTGAGGTACATAAATGTGATAGTTGAGTATGGATTCGTAGTTTAGTAAATCATGAGAATAAAATTGAGGAGAGGGTATGGGTAGCCAAGGTAGTAGAGCAAGGATTACCATGAGGATGGTCTTGGCTCCCCAAGTACCCCTAGCCAAGGGAGGAACCGGGGGTTCTGTGTATGTGCGAGATAGGACTTAGACTGCCCCTGTCCGGACTTAGCGGTAGAGGAGTGTGTGCTGCTGGCATTAGTGCCACCATTTTAAGTGATACTTGCCTCTGGAGCAGAGTGACGATGTCCCGCTGATCTGTTGCGAACGGACGGGCTTTGGTCTTTGGGATCAGCGTCCCATTGCTGGTGGAAAGCTGGAGAGGGTCGGCGGCTCTATTTAGGCCCGTTCTGCTGAAGAGCTCCCCAAGGTCAGTGGGTGCCGGTATGTAGTAGGCCCCAGTCCTGCATTTCGGCTTGGCCAGCTTTGAGTGTAGAGAACAAAAAATGACACAAAAAATGTTTATGCCTCCAAGTGTTAGGTATGTATAAGCCAAATAGTAAAAATACCACTAACAGTTCTTGGTAAGCATCACCACTTCTCTTCCAATGTCTTTCTTCTCTTAGTTTTGTGTTGTTTATTGGCTCACACATGGGCTCTACAGGGAGTGCAGAATTATTAGTCAAATGAGTATTTTGACCACATCATCCTCTTTATGCATGTTGTCTTACTCCAAGCTGTATAGGCTCGAAAGCCTACTACCAATTAAGCATATTAGGTGATGTGCATCTCTGTAATGAGAAGGGGTGTGGTCTAATGACATCAACACCCTATATCAGGTGTGCATAATTATTAGGCAACTTCCTTTCCTTTGGCAAAATGGGTCAAAAGAAGGACTTGACAGGCTCAGAAAAGTCAAAAATAGTGAGATATCTTGCAGAGGGATGCAGCACTCTTAAAATTGCAAAGCTTCTGAAGCGTGATCATCGAACAATCAAGCGTTTCATTCAAAATAGTCAACAGGGTCGCAAGAAGCGTGTGGAAAAACCAAGGCGCAAAATAACTGCCCATGAACTGAGAAAAGTCAAGCGTGCAGCTGCCACGATGCCACTTGCCACCAGTTTGGCCATATTTCAGAGCTGCAACATCACTGGAGTGCCCAAAAGCACAAGGTGTGCAATACTCAGAGACATGGCCAAGGTAAGAAAGGCTGAAAGACGACCACCACTGAACAAGACACACAAGCTGAAACGTCAAGACTGGGCCAAGAAATATCTCAAGACTGATTTTTCTAAGGTTTTATGGACTGATTAAATGAGAGTGAGTCTTGATGGGCCAGATGGATGGGCCCGTGGCTGGATTGGTAAAGGGCAGAGAGCTCCAGTCCGACTCAGACGCCAGCAAGGTGGAGGTGGAGTACTGGTTTGGGCTGGTATCATCAAAGATGAGCTTGTGGGGCCTTTTCGGGTTGAGGATGGAGTCAAGCTCAACTCCCAGTCCTACTGCCAGTTCCTGGAAGACACCTTCTTCAAGCAGTGGTACAGGAAGAAGTCTGCATCCTTCAAGAAAAACATGATTTTCATGCAGGACAATGCTCCATCACACGCGTCCAAGTACTCCACAGCGTGGCTGGCAAGAAAGGGTATAAAAGAAGAAAATCTAATGACATGGCCTCCTTGTTCACCTGATCTGAACCCCATTGAGAACCTGTGGTCCATCATCAAATGTGAGATTTACAAGGAGGGAAAACAGTACACCTCTCTGAACAGTGTCTGGGAGGCTGTGGTTGCTGCTGCACGCAATGTTGATGGTGAACAGATCAAAACACTGACAGAATCCATGGATGGCAGGCTTTTGAGTGTCCTTGCAAAGAAAGGTGGCTATATTGGTCACTGATTTGTTTTTGTTTTGTTTTTGAATGTCAGAAATGTATATTTGTGAATGTTGAGATGTTATATTGGTTTCACTGGTAATAATAAATAATTGAAATGGGTATATATTTGTTTTTTGTTAAGTTGCCTAATAATTATGCACAGTAATAGTCACCTGCACACACAGATATCCCCCTAACATAGCTATAACTAAAAACAAACTAAAAACTACTTCCAAAAATATTCAGCTTTGATATTAATGAGTTTTTTGGGTTCATTGAGAACATGGTTGTTGTTCAATAATAAAATTAATCCTCAAAAATACAACTTGCCTAATAATTCTGCACTCCCTGTATGTATTATCTCTACATTTTTATTTCAGTTTTTAAATTATGTCAACCGGACACTGGACATTGGACATGTCTATGTTCTCCTACGTAAATCTCAGAGTTGGATTAAGGTTGCCCAGTGCCTTAGGCAAGGTGCGTTTTTAAGACCCTCAGAGATGTCTTATGACAGAGACAGGATATGCATCCACATAACCTTATGAAGTCTGAGCACATCCATTTACAGTAGGGCTGTGAAACCCATTTGTTCTTCAGGGCCAAATTGTTCCCCAAAATAGATAGGCAGCCATCTAATGCCTCACAGCCGCCTAGCTCTTCTTAGAGCAGCCATCTAATGCCTCACAGCCGCCTAGCTCTTCTTAGAGCTGACTAATTAGTCAGCCCCACACTGGGAGGGGTGCAGCAGCTTGCCCTATGTGCCACAGGGTGTGAGTCAGCTAAGGGGGAGAGAGAGCCCACCACCCTCTAGTCTGCAGCTCCGCTGTGTGCAGAACTGCAGACTGTTAATTAGTTGTCCGCAAACTCTGGCCCATCAGAGTGTTGCCGTGGGTTACCAAGGCAACACTCTGAACAAGTGCCAGAGTTCACAAGACAACTAACTCATAGTCTACAACCCTGACCCCCCAGGGAATCAATTATTGCCCCCTCACTACCTGCTCTGCCACACTCACCTTATCAAATATACCCCATATTCCTGTCACTCTAATCCCACTTCCTAATCCTGTAACATTCTTTCCTCTAACAGTGCTACACTTACCCCACAAACTAAACCACACTCTCCCTATCAGAATTACACCTCTAATGTTATCACACTCACCCCACTACCCTGTCACACTCACCATGTCACATTAACCCCCCTTAATCCTGTCACACGCACATCCTCATGCCCAGTCCACCAGTGGCGGATCCAGAGCCTGATCTCGGGAGGGGCACTTGTAGATTATTTAAAGAAATAATCCAGACACAATAACTACTACAGCTCAGTGTAGTGGTTATGGTGTCAATAGTGCCGGGACCCCCTCCTAGAGTAAGTAGTCAAACCGTTTAAGAACAGTTTGACAACTTACCTGAGGTCTGCTGGGAAATGGGGCGGTAGTAGGGCATAGGAGCAGTGGTGTGTGTGAGTGGTGCAATGTGTAAGGGGTGCAGTGTGTGTGTGTGTGAGGGGGACAGTGTGTGAGCAGTGTGTGTGTGTGTGAAGGTTGTAGTGTGTGAGTAGGGGGGGCAGTGTATGTCAGGGATGCAGTGTATGTGTGGGACAGTATGTGTGTGTAACAGTTGCAGTGTGTGTGTGAATGTGGGCAATGTGTGTGTATGGGGCGGCAGTGTATGGGGGCAGTGTGTGTGTATGGGGGCAGTGTGTGTATGGGGGCAGTATGTGTGTATGAGGGCAGTATGTGTGCATGGGGGGCAGTATGTGTGCATGGGGGGCAGTATGTGTGTATGGGGGGCAGCATGGGGAGTATGTGTGTATGGGGGCAGTATGTGTGTATGGGGGGCTGTATGGGGTGTGTGTGGGGGTATGTGTGTGGGGTATGTGTGTATGGGGGGCGGTATGTGTATGGGGGGCAGCATGGGGGGCAGTATGTGTGTATGGGGGGCAGCATGTGTATGGGGGGGCAGTATGGGGGCTATGTGTGTGTGTGTTAAGGGTAGGGGGGGCTTTTTTTTAAAATAATATATATCTTTATTTAATAAAAACAAACAAATATTCTATGTCCCCCCTCCCTTCTTACCTTTATTGAGGAGGAGGGGGGACATATTTTCATCCCTGGTGGTCCCAGTGGTGATTCCCTGGTGGTCCCAGTGGTGATTCCCTGGTGGTCCCAGTGGTTACAGTGAACTCTAGCCCACGCTCCCGGGCTAGAGTTCACTCTCGCGAGATTTGGAGCGTTGCCGCGCTCCAAATCTCGTGAGAGGAGGACCCGGAGGAGCTACAGACTGAGCTCTCGGGTCCTCCATCTCCCTTCCCTGCCGGCTGTCAGCACAGTGCCTGCGGACCGGGGAGGGAGATCTCTGATCTCCCCTCCGGTCCGCAGGCACATTGCAGGGCTGGCACCTGCATGTGCTGACAGGGGAGGGAGAGGGAGACCGGCGGATTTCTCGGGGGGGGGGGGCAATTGCCCCGTTGCCCCCCCCCTGGATCCGCCAGTGCAGTCCACTCCCTCCTCCAACCATGCCACATTCACCATAACCCTGTAACACTCACTCCCCTTACCATGTCACACTTACCCTGTTACATTAAGACCCTTTATCCCATCATACTTACTTCACCTCACCTTGTCACACATTGTCCTCCAACCATGTCACATTCATCTTTAACTCTGTCACACTCACCTACCAACCCTGCCACATTCACTCTATCACATTGACCCCTAAACATGTCATACTCACCCTCCCTTTATCTGTCACACTCCCCCCCCCCAAATAATACTATCTCATTCACACCCATCACCCTGTCACACTCATCCCTTTACTCACCCTGTCTCAGTCACCCCGTAATGATAGTCGTCATACACACACATAGTACAAAAGGGGAATAGGGGGGACACCCAGAACATGCAGTGGTGCTGCAGCAGAAACCAAATATTATACAAAATGCAGATTAAGGTACATTGCACACCGATTCAGTTCCACCATTTGGCCATATCGTGTTAAGCCCAGCACTACGCCACAGTACCCCAATATTGGCGAGTCCTACACTAATTACCACAGTACAGTGGTGTACTGGTGCGCTTAACACAATACGGCGGAACTGAATCTTTATTTTTGTGTGTGCACTGTTCCTTAATCTGTATCATACACACACAGTCACAATTTACAAAGACCACAGACAGTCTCTCATACACACATAACATACTGAAAGCAGCTACCACACACACTTACTCTCCCAGAAACATAAATAAATATAACAAACTATAGAAACAATAAAAAAATATATATATGTATAAACCCAGGGCCATCTTTAATAATGATTGGACCCTGGGTAAGCATTTGCTAGAGCCCCCATAGATCATGCCCTCCCCACCAACTCCCTTACATGCAATCACGCCCTCCACCCCAACGCAGTGGCGGAACTAAAGTATAAAGATCCCTGGTGCAAGAATTTTATTTTATCTATAAAAACATGTTTGTCTGATCCTTAAAGGCACACTCTAATCTCTATAATCTCAGCAATGCGCTGTAGCGGTTATAGTACCCAGAGAGCCTTAGTCCCTTCCCACCGTAACCTTAGTCAGTTTTGTCATAGTTTGATACATTCTTGGGTCCCACTAAAAGTCCACATTGTTAAATTCTAAAGCTGTAGAAGCCATATGTCTATGCAAGATTGGGCCTCCCAATAGTCCAGTTTACGTGGGACAGTCCCAATCAGAGTCCTGTCCTACAGTCCTTGGTGTCCTTCTTCAACACAGTGTGAATGCATCTTTAAATGCACCGTGTAGCAGGCACTAGGACCATGCAACGAGTGCTTAAGCAGTGCACACTGTATGGTCCTAAAGACAAGGGGCCAGCCAGACAGCCTGCCTGTCAGTGGGCAAGTGCATCGCTTTTCTGGGTGTTCCTGCACGTTATGGGTGTCGCTAGTGAAGAGTGTCATGTCACTGGTGATGCACATTCCATTCCGATTACCCTGTCAGGATTGTTGGGTGGTATGCTAGATAGGAACTCATTCACTGTCTGATAGCGTTAGTGTCTGATAGTGTCTAAGTCAGTAAGTGAGCTCAAATCTTACAGAAAACTGACATTCACCTTGAACAGCTTGAACACTAGATGCAGTGTGGATGTCCAGCAGGACCAAGGTGAGTGTAACAAAACAGTGTGATAGGTTACAGTGGTATAACCCAGTACCAGAGGCATAGCTAGAAACCACGGGGGCCCCCCATACGTCTACCCCTTGCCACCCCCCCATATGTCTACCCTCCCCCTCCCATACGTTCCCCCCTATACATGCAAACAAACAGATACATATGCAGACACACACATCGTCATAAACACAGACACACACATACTGGCACACATACATACAGACACACACATACATACATTCAAACACACACATACATACATTCAGACATATACATACAAACACACACATACACACATATACAGACATACACACACTCACATACATACAAACACGCATACTTACATACATACATACAAACATACATAAAGATAAACACATACATACATACACACACACACAGACATACACACATTCATACAGACACACACATATACAGACACATATACAAAATGTTTTAGTCACCCTCCAGTTTCCTACCTTTTAAGTGCAGGAGAGGGTGACTTTCCCTGGGGTCCAGTGGCTCAGCCTGACTCTGACTCCTTCATTCTCCCGCGCGGCTCCCGGTGGTTGCTGGGAGGAAGTGACCGGGGCAGTCACTTCCTCACAGCTCTGATGTCATCACAGGGGGCCCGCTCACGCTGTTAAAGTACCGCAGCACTGACCGGGCACCTTGGAAATACATTGCCATTGGGTGGCCCTAACAGCATGGGCCACCCGATGGGCCTCTTCAATGCGGCCCTGGTGGATTCTATTGCGCGGGCCGTGGCCGCATTACTTAGCCAGCGGACACCTCGATCACATGGGTCCGCAGGGCGGCCGGGTCCCCTAGATTGACGGGTCCCGTCACAGCTGCGACCCCATTAGTTCTGGAGATGTAAGTTTATGTACAGAGTGTATGATAATGTGATGGTGTATCTGAGTGTAGTTCCAGAGGTTATGTGCCAATGCAAGTAGTAATAAGGGCTGAAGTGGGGTCAGAGGGGGCACAGGAGCTGTATTGGGTGGAGTAGGGGATATTGGCAATAGGCAGTGCAGGAGGGATAGGGACTAAAATTAGTGAAGTGGAAATATGGACATTAATTTAAAAAAAACAAAACCATACATTAAATAAAATGAAAGTACATTTTCCGCTTGTGGTCTGATCATTGAGTTTGCACTCTTAACAGGTGAGTGTCAGCTGACCACTCTCAGCCAGTGACTGGCATTCTGTTTAATGAAAGTTGCTCAGAATTGACATTAGCCAGCACGGACCTCTAGTTCCAGACTGGCTCATAACATCCAAATGATGCGTCTGGAGGTGCAGTGACAACTCCAGCAGCAAAGTAGTTATAGGAACATTACAGGCAGCCAGACCACTTCACCTCATTGAAGTGATCTGGGTGCAGAGTCCCTGTCCCCTTTATCCATTTTAAAGAAATTGCAATGTTTACATTGCAGGGTTAAGATTGCCTCTAGTAACTGTCTCCCAGACAGTCAGTAGAAGTGCTTGACATTTGCACTGTCGTTATTCGGCATGTGCTATAAACTTTAACTTTAAATAATACACGGACACATTTAATACTGTTGGAGTATAACGTCCACAGCTTTATTAATATGAATAAATTAACATATTTAGGGTCATTGTCAAAATGACATTATTTACTATCCCTCCGCACAATCCCCTGACAATGACCCTACCACATGAACAATAATTAACATAAATTACCAATAAACTTGCGAACACCCGGCCTACCAACGAGGCCCCATATCATAATGATAACTGTAGGGGTGTAGAAGAGCTAGAACCTAACAACACATGACACCGTCTGGCCTACTCCAGCCTAGACCCTGGCCTGTACAGTTCTAATT